CCCCAAAACCCCAAAACCCCAAAACCCCAAAACCCCAAAACCCCAATTTTAGAGCAATTTGTTGAAATATGACTGATTTGAAGAATTTTTACTGGATGGGCTCACGGCAGAGAGGGCAAGTTGTGTGCCTGGAGAGGAGCATTGAGAGGCAGGCTGAGTGGAAGAGGTGGTTACAGGGGAGTTTTATGGCTTTGGTGAGCATGTTTTCATAGCAGATAGTGCATATTGGAGGGTCCATCCTTCCTCCTTCAGTATCGTAATGATCAGGAGTAATACTTATTTCATTTAACTCTTTTAATGTAACTTTGGAGATAGGCATTGTAGCTTCAGTGTGAGGGAACCTTTGAATTGTTTCAGCTTCTTCTGTTTGCCTTTTCATGTCTTCTAATCTTCTTGTTCTATTTATTTCCATTATTCTATGATTTTCTTCCCTTATTCTGTGATTTTCTTCCATTATTCTTTGATTTTCTTCCATTATTCTTTGATTTTCTTCCATTATTCTTTGATTTTCTTCCATTATTCTTTGATTTTCTTCTCTTTTTCTTTGAACTTCCTGTCTTGTTCTTTGAATCTCTCACCTTTTTCTTTGAGCCTCTTCCCTTTCTTTTTCAACTTTTTGCATTTCTCTTTGAACTTCTTCCCTTTTTCTTTGAATTTCTCCCCTTTCTTTTTGAATTGTTCGCATTTCTTTTTGAACCTCTTTCATTTTTCTTTGAACTTCTTCCCTTCTACTTAGAGCTTGCAGTCTTCTTTGGTCTGCTATTCTAGATGAAGTTGAGTCTGAAGGACTATTATAGTCAATATGTATTCCCTCTACTGGCTTTGAATGAGAAAAAACAATATCTCGGTTGATTTTTTCAATATTGTTTCCTAATCAACGTGGGCAGGCTTCTTGTTCTTTAGGGATCGTGAAGCCAATATTTCATTCAAGACATTTGAAACTCTCCAATTCACTCCCTCTAAAAATAGTATAAACCATTTTAGTCTTACTCATCATCTTCCTGCTCCAAATTTCCTAAATCTCTATCAAAACTCATTAAGTCCTTAAATGACTCCTCTAATCCGGTAGATTCCATTTCTCTAAACAATTTTTTTATCAAAAATTATTAACTAAATCAACTCATATTCACTTCAAAGGGGTTTTGGGGTTTTGGGGTTTTGGGGTTTTGGGG